AAAAGTTAACAAATTAGAATCCCTTGTGTAAAATACACATTATAAAGATACATTTATATACATATTCGTTCAATTACCTCATAATCTACACTTGTTGAATGCAATAAACTCCAGATGAAATTCCAAGAGCATAACCTTTATGATGTCCAAAGTCGTTGTGTTGTCACTTCAACAAGAAGAATAATCGTAAATGGCCATATCCGAGACAATTAGCATAAAAATGAGGAATAATGAAGTTTAAATACATTAACAACCAACCTGAAACATTAAGAGTGAAGACCATGCTACCATCATTCATATTAGACAACTGAATCATTCATTAACATAAACTCTTGTAATGTATGAAACCTTCAGTATATGAAAGTAGAGTTATGTCAGCTTATCTTGCAATGTAAACCCTAAACCTCCCCACCTTCAGAAAACACAACTTTGTCAGGAAAGGTAAGCACTGTGCAGTACATGTTAACTTCGGAAGAAAGAATGAAAAGTAACGACACACTGATAAACAAACAGAACAATTGGAAAAAAAATTTGGACCATTTCTCGATTTGTGCGTGTCATCCTTGCGCAGGGGCCATGCTAATCTTCTCTGTATCGTTCCAATTTTATCGGATGTCCCCGAAGGGACGAGCCTTGCAGTGGTTCGCCTCATTATATACAGTAATATTTTGTTGAGATCAAGCGGTGTGGGACTCCAACCACAATAGACTTCTTGCACCAATGGAATGAAACCACAGAATCCAAAGAATTGCCGAAGCCATGTTGAGCAGCCTGTACAGGAAAACACATAAACATGTAAAAGATTTTAGTTGTTTCCTAACCTCACCAGAGAAAGATGTATTTTAATGTATTTTTGAAACACAAGAATAAAGGCATTGTACTGCAAAAGCTTAGCTATTCTCATAGCCCTATCATTACTCTGTTCTTCCCAATGCATCCTACTTTTGATTTGACATTTTTGTATTTAGTTCTTCAATGTTACTGGTAGTGATCTAAGCTATTCTATACCATAACATTTTTTCTCACAAAAGTGAGTGTAAGTCATATTGACAACTTTGAGTTTGGAAAGTTTCAAAACAATGATGTCTCTGGAATTCCGTTCAGTGAGTATGTCAAGTCATTGGTATTCTAAACGATACTTGTCAATGACCATTCCACAAACATATCCAATCACAGTAGATGGTGAGTCTACAAAACTAAATTCGAAGTTCTAAAGAAGGGATTGGACCCTTGGATTTCAAAGGCAACAACTTCAAAGCTCTGCTCTATTCTTCAACCCTGGACTTGAGAAAGAATGTATTTTGCTTGAGAAAGAAGAGAACCATTAGGTAAAGGTTTAACCTAATTCCTAAGAAATAATACAGAGTAATGAACTATGTAGAGACAAAAAGATTCAACTAAAGTTAGTGAGGAATCCTTCCATTATTTCAACTAAGTAACCATCTTGAAAATGGTCTATATGTTGAATGGGAGAGAGAAAGAAAGAATAATGTGAATAGTTACTAGTCTTAGAAGAAGTGAAATGTTTGAAGTAATATTTGGATTACAGATGGATTAAAGTGTAAAATGATGAATTTGAGAAGAAATACGTAGTTAATTGAATTAAGAGAAAGTTAGTAAAATTCATAAGAAAATAAGAAAAAAAGTTTGATGAGTAATTTGATTGATATCAATAATAGAAAAAAATCTATTAATAGAAGAATTTTAGAGATTACCGAATTGTCTTGGTGAAAAATATTATTATTAAAATTAAGATATAAATTACAATTAAAAGTAGATTTGAATATAATATGAATAAATAATTAAAATAAGATATGATTTAATATAAAATAATTAATAATAAAATTTATAAAATTAAATAAACAATAAAATTAATTTATATATAAATAAAAAAATAAACACATATTTATATTTTATAATAATTTATAAATTAAATTAAATTTATCAGGACTAAATGAATATTTAACTTTTTATAATTGAAAATAATTAAAATTAGTAAAAAAATTATATATAATTATTTGAAATTTTGCTAACTAATAATAAATATAATATTTTAATCAAAATAAAATAATAAACTTGATTTAAACATGTAATTTGTGTGAAATTTTATTATAATATTTTATTAATAAATATATATTATCTCACATCAAATTTTGAAAAGATAATTTTGTGATATTCAATTAGATTAACTTTCTCTTATTTTTCATTGTCTTTAGATAAATTTTATAATTCTCCCTCCTTCAATTATTTGCATTGTATTTGTGAAGGAATGTGATCTTTTACAACAAAAGCTGTAGTGCGTATCCAAATTTCAAGCAATAATCAGCAAATGTTAAATTCTTTTAGATTATATTAAAAAAATATATTAAAACCCTTAAAAAAAATAAAAAGTTAATTATTTTCTGTAATTTTTCTATAAAAAATTATTTAAATTTATAAACACTTATTTTTTATAAAAAATTTACAAAAAAATTCTATAAAATATATTCATTTCATATATATGTGAATTAAATTTAAAACGTATAACGTTTCATGAATATTTCAAATATTTCATGTCATTGCATTATGCTTCTTAAACAGGCACCATCATATACAGTTTTTTTTTTTAATTGTTTACAGAAGATTAAATCATCAACAGGTTAGAAAAAATTATTAGAATTATAAAAGAATATAAAAATAATATTATTTTACAATAATTATATTTTTTTAAAATAGTTTAAAACTATTGAATATAAAAAACATAATTTATAATAATTTATACAAGTTTCTACATATAGAAAATATCTATTAGATTACTAGAAAATCTTGTTATATATTTCATAAAGTGAAATTAGAATTTTATTTTAGGAATATATTACTTTATAACCACTTTTAAGAGTTTTTTTTTTAACTTATTTTAAAACACTTTTTTTATTATAGTTAAGAATAATAATTATGAATACTTGTAGCTTTGTACAAGAGAGAGATTAAGATGAGATATTTAAGTGTGGTTTTGTTTACAAAGTTATAGTTAGTAATTAGTGTACTTATGTAACAAAAAATAACATAAAAAAATATTTGATTATGGTTAATTATAATGTTATCTTTTTAAACTTTTTAAAAGATAATTGGACATACTCTGATATTTCGGGTGAAAATTAATATAATTTGAGTTCTATTTATCATTCTACCTTCTACTTTTTTTTATAAACACTCATCTATTAGACTTTACATTAATTATCTAAAAAAAATCTTAAACACTCTTCAACCTTCTCTTCTAAATTCAACATGTTCTTCTATTGGTACGAAAGTTAACATGTTAGAATTTTTTTTCTTTACAAAACAAAAGGAAAGATCTTATAATTAACTGGAGGGTGAAGAAAAAATATTGAACATATCTCACAACCAAATGTGGTACATTGTACGTACGGTCAAGGCAGAGCAACCTAGAGGTCAACGCTCATAAAGACAGCTTATACATGGTATTATAAATAGATGAAAGTCCCAAGGTATAAATCGAATCCCTACTTGTTACACATCCCTTACTGTGACACTTATTACAAACACACCGACCACATCCCGACAAGAGTTCAACGAGTGCACATTGGTCAATCATCCCTGTGAGAGGTCCAACTACTAGCACGCAATCAATATTAGAATAATCAGACATACCATATTTGGGTCTTGTAGGTGATGGAGGTTTTCTCCAAGCAAATAACAATAAATATACAAAATCACATGTTTTTTCTGTTTATCCTTATTGCAAAAAAAATAATCACACCCAATAAGTGTTGTGGATGTCTGATGTAAAATGTCATAAATGTGGTCAATTGGGACATATAGAAAAAATATGTAAATCACAACTAGAGGAAGTCATTCAAGTTATAGATGATGAAGTAGAAGGGGTACTTCTCCTTGCATCAACATGCTTTACAATTAACAAATCCATAGGTTGGCTTATAGACAGTGGTTATACAAACCACATGACTCATGATCGAAAACTTTTCAAAGAGTTTAACAAATCACATATTTCTAATGTGAGAATTGGTAATGAAGAACAAATGGATATGAAAGGTATGAGAATAATTGCAGTTAAAAGTCATTTGGGTATCAAATTAACTTTTGATGTTTTATATGTTCTTGATATTAATCATAATTTATTAAGTGTTGTTCAATTATTGAAGAAAAGTTATAAGGTATTTTTTGAACACAAACTTTGTGTCATTAAAGATATAAATAACTTGGAAATATTCAAAGTTCACATGAAAAAAAAAAGTTTCACTTTAGATTTGATGAAAGAAGAGTTAATTACAAAAGAGGATATAAAAGAAAAGTCAAAGAAAAAACATGAAGAATATTTATTGAAAGAACTTAATGTTAAGGAGGAAAATAAAGATGTAAATGAAGAAACCATTTTCAACTTTCATCAAAGAGTCAACGGTACTACCATGAAATTTGAAAGAAACAAAGGAGGTGAAGTTAACAAAGGAAGAAATACTTTGATGACGAAAACGAGGTTGAATGAAGATCTGATCCCATATAAAAAGGAAGATGACAAGAAGTACAAACAAAAAAGGAGAAAACATTATAAAAAAGAAGAAGAAGAAAGAATATCAAATTCAAATGAATAGATATTAAAGTAAGGAGGAATGTTGAGAATATTATTTTATTATCATTTATTTAAATTAGATATTAAGATATTTTTATTATCTTTTTAAGGGAAAAGATAAAAAGATATTAAATTATTATTTTGATTTAGGCCGTTATGATTGAGATATTATTAATATTTGATATTTTGTAATATTTTTACTCAGTATATACATAAAGTACATGAATAGAAATATACCCACATAATATATCATAAATACACATTCATAAAACCCTCAAATTCCCATCAGTAAGAACAAGCAACACTCATATTGTATGTGATAAGAGTGTTGCCATAAGTCTATCTAAGAATTCTATGATGTATTGAGCAAAACATATTCAAACTCAGGAAGTCTTGCAACATTAGGAAAGTGATGGATACGTTGAAGTTAAAGTCATGATACTACTCCCTTTATATAAATTATAGGCCATAAGTGATGTCTTATGTATGTGCAACTCCTCAAATACTGAAAAACCTAATCCATTTGGTTTCATTATTTTTATTCAGTGAGATACCAAATGGGATTTCATAATCTCTTTTTTTCTTCCATTTTGATAGCATTTATCAGCTTTGGGACTAGTACTCATGAATCCCAAAACCTCACAAGAAGCAGCAACAATGATTTTGAAGCCTTAACTGGTTTCTCTAGGCTCTACCTCCAATGATTACTGCACTTGGTCTGGTGTCACATGTGATGCCTTGTTGTCAGGTGTAGGCTCAAGGGTGGTTCGCTTGGAACTTGGAAGCAGAAGACTTGGTGGAAAAATATGCGAATCTTAGCAGGTTTGGATGAACTCAGAATCCTGAACCTTTCCCATAATTTCTTCACTGGCTCTCTTCCAGACAACTTGTTTCATCTTCAAAACTTGGAGGTGATGGACTTCAGCAATAATCATTTACAAGGCTCTATAAATACTGTTGTCTGTTCCACTTTTACACAGCTCCGAATATTTAAACTATCTCATAACTCCTTTTCTGGTAAGGTTCCAGGAAATTTAGGTAAGTGTTCCTCTTTGCAGCATCTGTCCATTGATGGAAATGATTTGTCAGGAACCCTTCCAGAGAGCATCTTTCAGGTGCAAAATTTGAGTGTACTGCACTTACAGGCTAATAAGTTATTTGGGCCACTGAGTAAGGGACTTGGTAAGCTTTCAAACCTAGTGGAATTTGACATCTCCAATAATGGATTTTCTGGAACTCTTCCTAATGTCTTTGGGAGCCTCACAAGGCTTCAGATTTTCTATGCTGACTCAAATAGATTCTCGGGTCAGTTGCCTGCATCACTGGAGAATTCGGCATCCCTTGAAATGCTTATTTTGAGAAACAACTCTTTGGGTGGTTCAATTAATTTCAATTGTTCTGCAATGAAAAAACTAACAACAATTAATCTTGGTTATACTAAATTTAGTTGTCCAACCCCTGGTAGTCTATCTAATTGTTTAAGATTGGAAGCAATTAATCATGCTGGTTTGCATTTCAATTGTAGGATTTCTGTTAATTTCAAGAATCATCAGTCCCTAACCCAACTCTTACTTTCAAATGCCAACATGCATAATTTGCCAGCAACACTAGAGGATTTAAGTCACTGCAGGAACTTAAGTACGCTAGTCCTTGCAAACAACTTCCACAACGAAGAAATGCGACAACTAAATGGTCAAAATCCAGAGTTCAGTAATCTCAAAGTTTTTGTCCTAGCCAACAGTCAAATCACAGGTTCAATTCCGAAATGGTTAAGTGCATGCAAGATGCTTCAGATGCTGGATCTGTCAATGAATCATCTCACTGGAAGCATTCCCTCGTGGATTGGCAAATTTAACAGCCTCTATTACTTGGACTTGTCAAATAACTCTTTCACTGGCAACATACCACAGAGCTTTACAATGTTCATGAACCTCCAGCAGAAGAACTCTTCACTGGAAGCAACTCTTTCTGCCTTTCCCTTGTACCTCCTAGGCACTGGCGCTTCAAAGAGACTGAAGTACGAAAAGCTTTCAAATTTAAGACCATCCTTATTGCTCAGTTACAACAAACTAGAAGGACCAATATGGGCAGGTTTTGGTAACCTGAAGGGCATACATGTTGTGGACTTGAATCACAATAGCCTCTCAGGACCAATTCCTTGACAGTTATCAGGAATGAAAATGTTGGAGATTTTGGATCTGTCTCACAACAAACTCTCAGGAGAAATACCAGAATCATTAACTGGATTGAGTTTCTTATCCTCATTTGATGTGTCTCATAATGAGTTGCATGGTGAAATCCCCACAAAGGGACAGTTCAACACCTTCCCAACCACAAGCTTTGAAGGAAATAAGGGTCTCTATTATGGTCACACCACTTCAGGAGGCTCTGTGCCTTCTCCACCAGATGAGACTGGTGCTCAGCCCAATCACCAGAAGTTGCATATCATTGGTTTTCCATTTTGGTTTGGTGCTCTTGCTGGTTTTCTGATAATCATTGCAATATGTTTCGCCTCTGGATGGATATTCTCATAAACTGGCAAATTGATGAACATCACCCTGCCCACCAAACTCATGCATTTTATGAATCTTGGAGACATTAACGATGTATTATGCTTTGAATAATTTGGAAGATATTGATCATGTCATCACACTTGCAAGAAAAAAAGTTACTTTTAGATATAAATTTTTGTGCTATGCAGTTTCATAAATTAAATTGATTTAAATTTTGTTTGAAAACAAATAATTTTGTGGATTGTTGGGTAGCAGAGGGCAATACAAGAGAAATAAAGATAAAGAAAACTTGCACATCTATAATTACTCAAGTTCTTAATGCACCCAAACCTAACCTAAATATTAGTGTTATGATAGATAAATTCAAATTATTATCCCTTATTTATAATAGGAATTTATTATTTCCCTTCTTTAAACTACTCAACTTGGAACTTTAAAACATACCCACGTATTTTGGTCACACAATTACAAATTTTACTTTGGAAATCCTGTAAGAAAACAAAATTAGTTTTTTATAAAGAATCTTCCAATTATCTTTTCAAGTCTCTTTGATGAAATTTATCTTGTCTGGTCTTATTGTAAGACTTGTCTGGTCTTATTAATAAAAGTAAAAAATATAAAATAAATTTCATGAGATTTTATTTAAAAAATTTAAAAATAAAAATAAAAATAATTTTTAGAAACTACTCTGATAAAATAATTATAAAAATAGTTTTTAAATATTAAAAAATCAAATATTTTAATTAAAGAGAGTAAATAAACATAATTCGAGTTTTAAAAAGTTTTTTATTGTTAAATTTGGAATATATTTAAAAAAATAATTCGAAAATGAATTTTAGATTAATTATACGAGACTTATTTTTAGATTATGTTTTATAGAAATTTATTTTAGATTTAATAATTCAAAATACAAATAAATGTGATTTTTCACAAAATTTTTAGATGAGCAACATGTTATATTATTCAAAGATAAATCACGGACTAATTTCTAAAATGGAGGTGCAAGTAGTGATATAATGGTGTGGCATGAAAAAGGAAAAGTAACCTCAAAAATATTTTTGACATGTGACGTATATTATAGAGTGCAGAATAAATTATTGAGGTACAAATAGAAACAACCTCGACAAAACTGCACTTAACTATGAGCATTATAACTTATTAGTCAAAAATAAGGTACAAGGACTTGGATTTTAAGAATACTATTAATACCAAGTCTTATTTTTCAAAAAAAAATTAAAAACAATAGTAGGTCTATTTTAGTTAAAAATATTTTGAGAGAAATATTTAAAAATATCAAAATTTAAAATTACATAAAAAGGATTATTCACTTATTAATTATTTTGTTAACAAAATAACTATTAAATAAATGGAATATTTATATAATTTTGTTTAAAAATTAATAAAATAATACTTAGAACTCCATATAATTAGTTCGACTCCACTTATAATAAAAAAAATAGTTCAAATGACATGATTAAAAATATTGAGAGAAAATTTAAAAAATATCAAAATTTAAAATTACTTAAAAATAATTTATTCACTTATTATTATTTTGTTAATAAAATAACTACTATATAAATGAATCATTTATATAATTTTGTTTGAAACCTTATAAAATAATATTTTGAACTCCATATAATTAGTTCAACGGAAACTACTATCAAGAATCAACCCAACACATCATTAAAAATATTCTGAGAAAAAAATTTAAAAATATCAAAACTTATAATTACTTAAAAATAATTTATTCAGTCGTTAATTATTTTGTTAGTAAAATAACTACTATATAGATTAATCATTTATATAATTTTGTTTGAAAACTTAAAAAAATAGTATTTTTAACTCGATATAATTTGTTCTGTCCATATTACTGTCAATAACCCAACCCAAATTCTGTATAAATGAACCATTTATATAACTTTATTTGAAAACTTTTAAAATAATACATTTAACTCGATATAATTAGTTCGACCCATTTTATCGTGAAAAACCCAATCCGGTCCAAATTCTCTATAACATAGTTAAAAATATTTTCAGAGAAATATTTAAGAATATCAAAATTTAAAATTATTTAAAAATAATTTAATCACTCATTAATATTTTTCTAATAAAATAACTACTATATAAATGAACCATTTATATAACTTTGTTTGAAAACTTATAAAATAATACTTCAATATTATTAGTTCAACTGAAACTACCATCAAGAACCCAGTCCAAATTCTCTGACATCATTAAAAATATTTTGAGAGAAAAATAATTTAAAGTTACTTAAGAATAATTATTCACTCATTAAGTATTTTGTTAATAAAATAACTACTATATAAATGAACCATTTATATAATTTTATTTGAAAACTTATAAAATAATACTTTGAACTCAATATAATTAGTTCAGTTCAAGAACCATCCAAATTGTCCATAATATCATTAAAAATATTTTGAAATAAAAATTAAAAAATATCAAAATTTTTAATTACTTAAAAATAGTTTATTCACTCATTATTATTTTTTAAATAACTACTATATAATTAACTATTTGTATAATTTTATTTGAAAAATTATAAAATAACACTTTTAACTGATGTAATTAATCCGGCCCAAACTAAAACCAAGAACCTGTCTCAAATTCTCTACAATATCATTAAAAGTATTTTCAGAAAAAAATTAAAAAATATCAAAATTTAAATTTATTTAAAAATAATTTGTTCACTTATTAATTATTTTATTAGTAAAATAATTATTATATAAATGAACCATTTATATAATTTGATTTGAAAACTTATAAAATAATACTTTAAACTCAATATAGTTATTTAACCCAAACTCCTATCAAGAACATAGTCCAAATTCTCTATGCCATCATTAAAAATATTTTGAGAAAAAAATTTAAAAATATCAAAATTTAAAATTACTTAAAAGTAATGTATTTACTCATTAATTATTTTACTAATAAAATAATTACTATATAAATTAACCATTTATAAAATTTTGTTTGAAAACTTATAAAAGAATACTTTTAACTCGATATAATTAGTTTGATCAAAACTACCACAAAGAAACTATCCCAAATTCTCTATAATATCATTACAAATATTTTGAGAAAAAAATTAAAAATATAAAAAATTTAAATAATTTAAAAATAATTTATTCACTCATTAATTATTTTATTAATGAAATAATTACTATATAAATGAACTATTTATATAATTTTATTTGAAAACTTATAAAATAATATTTTAAAATCAATATAATTTGTCTGACCCAAACTACATCAAGAACCCAGCTAAAATTCACTATTTCATCATTGAAAATATTGAGAAAAAAATTTAAAAATTTAAATTTATTCACTCATGTTTTATTAATAAAATAATTACTATATAAATAAATCATCTATACAGATTTTATTTAAAATTTCATGAAATAATACTTTCAATTGGATATAAATAACCCGTCCAATTTTTCTGTATCATCCTTTAAAACAATTGTGCAATTAAAGGGTAAAAATTAAAGCAAAAGAGAGGTGTTCGTGTATCATATAACCCATTCAACCACTCCAATGCATACGCTTTTCTTTCTATGCTGTTTAAATTGGCAATTACTATTTATGGTTTGAATAAATAACATTGGTTTTTATTATAATTTTATAAAATAACACTCACTTCCCTTATTTTATTACAAAAAATAAAGTCGTGGATCTCTGTCATTTAGCATAAATAAGTGTAATTTCTCTTTAATAATTAAGTTATGAATTAATATAATTACATAATTTTTTACAATAAGGGAACATATGTGGTATGTGATATAAAAAAGATTGTTAAAAGTCTATTACATATATAACATCAATAAATCCTATAAATAATACATTTAAAAAAAATTATTCAAATAAAATTCTCTCAATTTATTTATTTAATTAGACCTGTATATAATTCATATATAATTTTTTTCTCTCTTGATAAATATTTTTAATTTTTTTCTCTTTCCTCGTTGCCTCTTTCTTTTTTTTTTTTTTTTTTTTATCTTTTCTCGTATAAGTCTCTTATTTCTTTCTTTCTTCTCTCATTTATTTTCTTAATTAAACCATTATATTAAAATTTAATAAAAAGATATTAAAATAAATATTTTTAAATCAACATTGAAAATAAAATATATTAATTATTTATTTAAAATTATTTTTATTTAATAGTTTAATTAGAAAAATAAGTGAGAGAATAAAGAAAGATAAGAGATGCTATAAGAAATGGTTAAATCCTCTTATTTTTATTTTTCAAAAACATTTATAAATCGAGATTCTAATATATATATAGATACAAATGATTTAATGATTATATTATTTTATTTCTTAACAGAATATTCATTTTTAAGTAGTTTTCGATCGATTAAATATTAATCAATATTTTATTAATTCTCTTATTTTTATTTTTCAAAAACATTTATAAATCGAGATTCTAATATATATATATATATAGATACAAATGATTTAATGATTATATTATTTTATTTCTTAACAGAATATTCATTTTTAAGTAGTTTTCTATCGATTAAATATTAATCAATATTTTATTAATTGGTTTGAAGTTATGGACAGAAAATATTTGTTTATAATATAAAAAAAAAGTGAATGAAGAAAGAGAAAAAATAAAATTCATAAAAAGAGAAAAGTAAAACTAGGTATAAATAGTAAATAAGTCTACTTAAGTAAATAAATTGATTTAAATATATTATTTATAAAACTCATTCAATAAACTCACCTATCAAATTTTAATATACTAATTTTAATTGAAAAATAAAATGAAATGAGATAAGAACAAAAGATGAGGATAGATAAAAAAACAAACAAACGCTAAATAAGCACAGAAAAAAATAATAAGAAATAAATAAAAAGAGCGAAAAAGAGAAAAATATAAGTAAATAAATGAAAAAAAAATTATATTATGTAAGACAAGTTAAATTCTGTATATAAATAATAAACATGTCTAATTGAATAAATAAATTTAGACAAATTTTATTTAAATATTTTTT